AGAGGATAAGGAAGGAGTAACAAACGCACCAAACTGTTGTACTGGGATAGATGCTTGGTATCTGTTTAATCAGAGCTTTGTTTAAAGAGGGGACTTTCCTGAAGCCTCAGACCTTCCAAAGTTATTTTAATTGTATTCTCTCTTGGTGGGAGGAGAACCAGAAAGAAACTGCAGTTTGAAAGGGATTTTGAAAGTTTAAAGGTCCACTGTCTGACCTCAGGCAATACAGAGAGCATACAAATAAAGTTTTTGCATCTTGAAAGAAGAGCTAGTGTTTCAAAGTCTTATGAGGTGTTTGTATGTTTAATAGTGAAATAACCCTTAAGATATGGTTTCAGAAGGGGTTGCAATGGATAACAGAGTTGTTCTTCTCATTTTTTAATGAGAATAGGCACTCAGGAGACGGGGGGGTGACTAAGAAGGTGCAGCATGTGTATTCCTTGCCATGTGCCAGAAGGGAGCATGCACCATCATGCAGCCTACCCTCACAGTTCATTGGGCAGCTGCAGCCAGCAGTGTTCTTTGCTGTGGACTTCTCTCTGCCATAACTCCCTGCCTCACAATGGAACCTTCTTATATCTCTCTCTCTCTCTTTATATTACCTTATATCTCTGTGGTGCTTTCAGTCATAAAAAAAGCTCAAAGTACTTTGGAGATGCTTACAGGCTGAGTAATATACAGTTCTAGTAAAAGGGAAACTGGGACACAGGTATTACACGCTTAAACTGAGGTTACTAAAAAAGGCTGTGATGATCAGGAAACTGCTTGGTTTGCTGTTTCTAACACACCTTTGAAGTTTTGTCATCCATCCTTCCATACCAAATGCAACACCCATGTGTAAAGTTGCCTGAAACAACCATGCAATGAGGTAAATTGTAAACCCAGCAGTCTCTCAGTAACTCACTACAGCCCAATGCTGCAGTGAAGTCTCAAGGTGACGTGCCTTGAAATATCAGAAATCAGAGTGATAAAAATCAGCCAAAGCAAACATCAGATAAACTTGTCAAGCAAGCGGAACGAAGCCTGTGTGTTGCCACTGATGGTTTTTGTAGTTGTTCCCTTTATATACTAACACTCAACTAGAAATGAGGGTTTGCTGTGTAAAGGAAGAGGGAGACTAGAAAGGGGGGAATTCTTCTTCTTAAATGTTTGACTTGCAGGTCCTAGGTTAAAGGGCTGTTATGGTTCCTGCCCGATTAGAGGTCCCAGAAGGACTGCTGCTGGCTCAGCCCTGGCATGAGAAAGCATGTTGTGCCTCTCAGAGTGCTTGTGTAAGCGCAGATACCGCAGCCTCTCTTTCCAGTTTTAACAAAGCCCCTTTGAGATACATGACATGAATGCTTCTGTGGTTTACCAGTAGTTGTTGTGGGTCAAGAAGGGCTGGAAAAGTCTTTCAAAAGGCCAGGGAAATCCAGACAGGGAAAACGCACAATCTGTATATTCTCAAGCCGCTTCACCTCTCAAGTTCAAAGATGCTGTAAATAAGAGAATTTCTTCTTTCATGGAAAATTGGAGAGAATTGCATTAAACTTTTATAGAATGTGAGCTTATACAGAAGGATTTAAAATCAGCAGAAGTATTCAAGTGTTGTTTCTTAAGAGTGTGAGGGAAAGTAATACGGCTTTTAAAAAGTGATAGGTGTAATGGCCACTGTGTTGTGCTGGTTCAAGTTCAAGTGATACCACATTCTTGAGTCGCTTTCTTTTGGACTCTCTACGATGCTGGATTGCAGGAATTGCTCTATGAATAGGGAAATTGGAAAGGAGGTGCAGAATGTGATCCTCATTCTGGCAAAGGGAGCAGACAGCTCTGTTGTCAGTGCTATCTGAAAATAAGCCAAAGAGGAAGAGCAGCCCCAGCATCTTTTCCATTGCTCTGACACTGATTGTTCTCGTTCAGGTTGTCATTTAATGATGTGTCTTTTAATGAAGACTGTAACATCCAGAAAATTCAGAAAGAGCATTTGGATGTTGTTTAGAGGTGGTCAGTGGGGTGGCCAGTCCCTTTGTGGGAAGCTCAACCAAGGTTCTTAAGGCAGTGCTGGACACACACTATGGAAAGAGATGGGTTTCCCTTATGTAGCACACTGGCATGTGGGACAATGACTTAATAAGGACAGTGTTGAGTGAAAAAATACACAACAGTATAAAATATTTCAGCAGCTGATAGATCAGTGGCATGCCTGGTTTTGCCTGCCAGTCTATCCACAGTGGTGTGCAGGCATGAGTTAAAGTCTAACTGCATACCTGTCCTGCCCTGCCAGTGGGCACAGAGCTGCTAGGTATGAAATAGTGAACAAATCCTTCATTGTTGTCACTTTCTATAGCTTACAGGTGAGACATTTTTGTCCCTGTGTGTCCCTGGTCCACACTAGCATATTTCAGCAAACTTTCATGCAGTTCCAGGTCTCTCCTTTGCTCAGGAGAAGCAGGGGAAAGGAGGGTAACAAGGTCACCAGCAAATGCACACCTGCCTGTCTGATGAACCGCAGCCAAAATCAAACCAAGTTCCAAGGCCCAGTCTACTGGAATGGAGACGTGTCCTGTAGCAGCCAGGCTGAGCACGATGTACCTGAGATCCTGCCAGTGAGAAGGAAGGAAGGCTGATCTGTCCAATAATTTTTTTTCTTTCATTTTTGTTTTGTTGCCTAGTTGGCAGGGTTGCTGGAATGTAATTTAAATAACTGAAACTCCAGCTGTTGCAATGAACTTCTTTGAATTATGTGCCCAAAAAGAGAAAGATGGTATCTTGAGTTCAGATCAAGTGCTCTGGTATACTGAAATCACATAAGTGCATGTAAATTAAACTCTTGTATTTAATACTCCCCATTGTTTTCTTCTCATTCAACCTTTCTTTGAGGTTGTTTCCAGATCAGAGCTGAAACTGCTGTAACAGCAACTGTTTCCTGCGTACTTCCAGCCTGATGATTGTGAATGTAATTTAGATCTAAAGACTATGTTTCAAGCCCATTATAAAGCTATTTGGGGAAGCTTACCCTGTTGTAATATATATGTCAGAACTCAGGTATGAATTTGTCAGGGAAGATGCTCTGATGTGGTGGTAACTGCAGTTGCCAGTGCATAGATTGATTTCTCAGGATATGGATTTTTGCAGATAGTGACATGATGTTCTTTGTCGTCACTGCAGAAACCGGCAGCGTTGCCTGTAGCTAGCACTGGCTGATGTGTATCTGCTGCAGCAAACCACCTGAATCAGAGTCCTGGCATATTGTAGTTTGTATTAAAGTCAGCCAAGCCATCTTCTCCAACAGAACTGGAGGAGAATCGTGTTATAACATGACCCCAGCTGTAGTTAACTGACTTGTGTATATGAGTATTTAGTCTCTTTGAATTCTCAAGAGTTAACTCCCAGCCAGATTGGCGTTGGCTGTGCTGAATCAGAACAGCTAATGGTAGCAATGTCTTCTGGAAACTGCATCATATTCTGGGCTTTCTGGAAGAGGAGGATGAGGGCAATTGCTAGATGCAGATGCTGAAATTACTGCTATTGATGCAGAAATATTCAATTCAGTGAACACCTATGTTTCATATTTGAAAGGCACAGGATGGTATATTCATATCACATGAGATTGATGAAATCCGTTAATAACTATGGTAGAAGTTGAATAAATTCTGCTAAACATCTTAAACTCACCAAGCTCGCATGACTGGACCCAGCAAGAGTGTGAAGGCTCTTCTGTTACTTCTCTGTGAAAAGCAGGCAGATATGATTGCTCCAGTTACTTTACACTGGTTAGTCTGACAACAGCGACAAACATACCAATGGCACTTATATAGGAATCTGTTAATTCTTAAGAAGTGGGAATGTGCCTCCTGCCAGGCAGTGTGGATTGTGGAAATAACAAAAGATTTTTCACATGCTTTTGATGGTAACATATGCTTAGTTGATGAGGTAACATTTGCCGCATTCCCTTTATTTTAAACAGGAGTCCAGCACAGTGTCAGCAACTTAGAGACTGATGGATTAAGCAACTGTCCTACTGAAGTAGCCATGGCAGGTGTACTGCCATTCAATGAAAATGTAACTTTTCTACAAAGATCTGTAGCTGGCACAGTTTAGCATTTTCACTGATTATCTCCACCTAGTGATTGGAATAAGAAGTGAATGGGACACTGAAAAGATCCCTTAATAACTAATTTCAGCAATTCAGAACTAATCTTAGTAGACTGTAAAATGTATTTTCTTGGAGATAAAAATAGCTTATGGGGCAAGCCAAGATATGAAATCAAAAGACAATTAATTTTCCTGAAGTTTATTCATCATTATTGTACAAAGAGCTTAAGAGACTCTTAAAGGGCATCTCTGGATTGTGGCTTTAGTTGTGGACTGGAAATTGGGCAGTAACTTCTTGAACTGAAGATACAATGGCATTCTTTAAAGGGAAGCTTAAAGGGAACAGTCTGTTGCGTTTTCCACAAGTACATATTGTTTAGAAAACTCTGATTCAGACTGTATTATGATGGCATGAAAAAAATGAAAACAGTGTTACAAAATTCTAATACCAAACTTATAGCCAAGTAACAGAGCTTTTTTGTAATGGTTTTATGGACCAGGCTATATGCATCTGTAGATATTTCACGGTGTTTTAGAAGAATTGATTATAATTTTTTGTTGTTCCTAATCCAGTTCTAAGAATCTTTATTTCACAAATTTTCTGCAGATTTCCTGCAGATACTACTGTAGAAGTAATATAGGTAATTTCACTGAAGTGCCAATAAGTTAATGAAGATTTACTGTAGTTGCCATATTGAGATTTCTGAAGTTTTAGTTTGTAGCATAAAAGTTAATATGTAAGAGTGTAAGTGTGTAATTTAATTGCTTTAATCGCATGGGAAATGATTAATACATTAATAATTATGGTATATAAAGCAATAAAATTTGCCCCTATTTTTAGTCAAGATTTTAGTTCAGAATCTCCATTAACAACCACATCTGTCATCAATGCATAAGATGTTTGTTTGAGACCGTGTTTTTGATTGGTTGTGTTTCAGGGCCAGTTTTGTGATTACTGCAATGCTGCTGATCCCAGCAAAGCTCACCCCATAACCAATGCCATTGATGGCACTGAGCGCTGGTGGCAAAGCCCCCCTCTTTCCATGGGATTGAAGTACAACGAAGTCAATGTCACCTTAGACCTGGGGCAGGTAAGTACCTGAGCTATGGGGTGAGGTGTGATCATTTCTTGCATTTGTGCATATATGCTTTGCAGTTGGGAGAGACTTTTGAGCTGATGATTTTTACTTCCTGACATCACAGCTTTTTTTGGTTTATGTTCTGTATTTTTTTTACCAAGTTGACTGTATACTGTTGTCTTTGTTTGAAAGACAGGTGTTTGCTCAGGAAGGCAGGAGTCTCCCTTCAAATGGCAGATGTAAACCCCCTCCTCTGAATTATTACAATTTTGAAATTAAGGACCCCTCAGGCAAAGATATGGATATAGGAATAACAGCTTTTTACTAGGAAAATTAAAATAAAAATACAGTAATACAAAACAACAAAGCACAGAGTCAGAATACAGCCTGACACCCCCTCAGTCAGGGTGTTGGTAGCAGTCCCATTAAATGGTGGCTGCAGTCCTCCTGGAGTGACAGATGTGGTTCAGTTGAAGCAGTGGTTCCTATAGAAGGTGCAGTTTTCCTCCAAGGTCCAGGATGATGTGTAAAGGTTTGGTTTTCCTCTGGAATCTAGTGGAAAAGGGTTGCCTTGGTGTTTCAAATCTCAGATTTTATCTAGGTGAGAAATGCCTGTCTCCTCCCCCTGGGGAGAGAATCTCCCAATGGGATGATGTAATTTTATCAGTCATGCAGGGGGACTCAATGGGCCATTAACAGAAGATACCTCCCTGGAGGAAGGATGGGCTGGGGAAAAGATAAAGAACACTGCCCCACCTGGTTTTAACAGATGGCCCATTAGCAGAGGATATCTCCCACAGTGATAAGGATCACTGCCCTACCTGTTTTCAACAGATGGTGATAGAATACATACTTTTGGTCACATCCTGTATTGCAACCCAAGACAAGTGTATATAATGTGATTATTTTCCTTTGAGAATTTTTATGATGGGGATTCTTGCCACTGGGATCATGCAGATGTAGTGATAGTGCCTTCTGTTTAATATTCGCCTTTTCTATGAGCTCAGAGAGAGAGGCTTCATGATCCCTGTGCATGCATACATTTTGAGAATAATGTTTGGAGACTGCTTTTGCTTTGGGGGTCCTTCTGGTTTCTCTGTCATCCAGCAAGATCTTCAAGATAGACAGAAAAATATTGATAAGGTGGTCTAAAAGGGAAGGGGAAGCAAAACCACTGTAATATGAATTAGTTATGAGACAGTAACAGGAACACCCATATTTCCCCTGCAAGTGATAGGCAAGTGGTTAAGAGGAAAGCCTCTGTATCTGTTTTTTAAGTCACAGGGATTGATTCTCAGCTGCCATAATTGGGTGCTGATCCAGTTAAGTTAGTGACACTGTGCAGGTTCACACCACATGAAAACACATATTTATGAATATATGTGTGGGCCTACAAAATACATACACGTGTATATTTTTTGGACTGTTACTGATTGATTATATAGGACAGGATTTTTTGAGTAGACCTTCAATTTAGTTGACAGCCAGATGGGGGATAACTAAGAAAGTATTGCTCTGTGAGACTTGGTTGACATTTTGCTGGGGATACAGGTGCAACTTATTTTACGTCTTGTCTTACATGGTGTTCTAATACTCTTGTTCCTCCCGTGGCTGGAATGGTTCTCATTTTGAGGATGTCATTATTCAGTGTTTCTGTATTCAATAGAACTGCAGTGCAGAAAGGCCATACTAAACTTCTTTTCCTGCTGTGCAGTTTTTACCTTCTTTGGAGGACCTACTGACAGACACTTTACTTTTCATGTGCTGAGTAAACTTCTGAGAAACATCTTTCCTTGAGAGGAGGGGTATGAACTAAGTGCCCTCTTTTCCTAGCACTCCTTGGACACCAGCAGCTATGTGCTAAGATTTCTGTGGTTGTTCAAGGTTTTCTTAGAGCAAGGTTGTGTGTTTCTCATTACTCTGATACTACTTGGAACGATGAATCTGAATCCTTTTTCTTGGAAGTGAAGATAATCCAAAACAAAGGTGAAAATTATTCCATGTCCTGTGATCAGGAATGAATCATTTTAGCTGGTGGATGGATGAGGATTTGGTAAGATTAGTAAGATATTTTTTCCCACTTTACAGACATTATCTCATGTCTGCTTTCATCCAGTTAAACCTTAACCTCAGGGTTTGTTTGAACTTGAGAGTCACTTTTGACATTTTACTTAGTGTTTTCACTCCCAAATTCATACAGTAGCACACAATACTAACAATGAAGACCATTAAGTACTGTGACAGAGTAAGTCTACTCAAGTGAACAGGTAAGCACTGAGACCCCAATTCACCTTACTCTATTTCATGATCCTAAATATTAGGAGCTTGGTGTATCTTAATGATGCAGACTTTCTTAGTAATTGACAGGGACAATTTTTCAGAGTTCAGTTCCCCCTCAGCTGACCTGAGATGAAAGTTCTGGGTTTTAAGGAAAAATAAATCTTCTTAAAGTTAGATATATCTCTAAATACAAAACCACATACTGTAATATTGAAAAGATAACAGGGATGTCGTTTTCCTCACTAATTATTTGTCTTTTTTGTTGTTTCGTTTTGTTTTGTTTTGTTTTGTTGTTTTGTTTCTTTTTAATACAAGGCGTTTTATTCTGCAAAAAAAAAAAAGGAAAAGTTTTGGGGTATGCAGAACATGACAAAGAGTAAGGTACAAATGCGTGCAGGGAAGCAATGACTGAGTGTAAACTGGTCATCAAGAATCCACAATTAGAGGAAGCAGGACATAGTGCAAAGTCAAAAGCTTTTAATTTTCTGCATTCCTGCCATTATATCTTTATGATTGAGAGCAGAGTCCCAGCGGAGCCTCCTACCATGGTCTCACGACAATATTTAATTGAATAGCTGCACCATGATGAAAGTTTTAGTGCTCACTACAATGGAGTAGGAACAGAACACCCACCTGGTGCTGCTTCTCTTTCACAAGGGTTTGGGTGATTTCAAAAGTCAAAATGCCTTCCGGCTGTTAAATCTGTTTGCAAGAAGAATTCTCATTTTGCTGTACTTCATAATATGAGAAAAAGCAAAAACCTTAAAGCAAAACCCCTTCTTTACTTCCCTTTCTGACTTTCTGTACTACAGTTACATTTCTAATCAATCACAGTCCTTCCGAATAACAATTACAATGTTGATCCCTGAGGCAGCCTCTCCGTTCTGTTAACATACCTGCTTACACTGTGGCTATTCCTGACTTGTTTAAAATATTTGGATCAAATGAAATCTCAGTTATTCCTCTAGTTGGTTATGTTTTTCCCAATATAATTTTCAACATATTTTAAACTTCTGAATCCAAAATGTCTGACTGAATTTCATTGCCCTTCCTGTGACCCTTTGAATTGCCTAATTTCAGCAGGTGTGTCCTCATCTTTGGCTTGCTTAACGCCCAGCAGATATTACTGTAACACTCCTCTAGGTATTTTTCTGAACTCTCTCTTCAGAAGAAATGTAAGTTTAGGATAGCATGATAGCATATGATGAAAAGGAAATGTCCAACTACAAAAAGTAGTTCAAAGAAGTAGAGCCCATATATTTTATTGTTGCTTTTAGTAATGTACATTTTTTTATTTTTGCTGTGCTTTTTGGTAATAATATAGTGCTGAAAGACTCAGACTCAGTGAAGTCTTGTGCATTAATATGTTGAACAGTTTTTATGTAGTGATATTATTAGTCACTGTTGTAAATTAAAAGAACACAGTGGAATGCTATGTCCAAAATAGTACTTCTATTAGAGAAGGAGGGAAACTCAGCCATAAATTTAAGCTAAGTGGTGTGGCCTATGAAGGACTTCATGCTTTTATGTTTTCTACCAGTTAGTGTATAAACATTTTTGTAAATAACCCCACAGTCTGGCAAATCTGTGGAGTTGTTTTTGTATGGTAGAGGTCTAATTTTTATATTTGGTAGCAATCCTTTGATTTACAAACAATATTTGGTTTTTGGAGTATTTTTCAGCTTTGGTTAATTGATGAGAACAAAAAACAATTTTTCTTAACTTGCAAAATATCGACATGATACCTTAAAACGTTTCAGAAGTTACAGTTACTTTAAGTGTCCTTCTGAAAAATATAAAGTGTCCTGTGCTCACTTCTTCTGCAGGGAGAAACTCTCCAGGTGGTGGGAAATTTATCACAAACTGCATTGAACTAGGCTCCCAAAAATAGTCATTGCACTCATTGCACTTGGCTTTTGAAGACTTTGTATTATCACTGACCCTGAAATCAGACCCAGCTCTAGCATGAAGTTGCATAACCTTTATAATAACACTGGGAAGTCCTGCAGATCAGGGCATGAGAACAACTGCACGAGGCTTCTGCTGTGCTGCAGAGCTGTACCTGCAGAGAGACCAAGCCCTTCCTCTGGAACCCCTTCACAGCTCTGAATCCACAGCAACACTGAGCCCTGCTCTGCTGTTTTGGTTCACACTGGGGAGAAAAAGGGGCTTTTAAGTCTGGGAAGGTGCAATATTGTCCCTACAGTACACAAAAATGGGGATGCTAACAGCACAGGGGATGCTAATATCTCCTTTGTATTGGAGAACTCTGGTTCTGAGTATTTCAGTGTGTGCAGGAAGCTGATTTGGGATCATGCTGCAGAACAGCACGCCTTGAAGTTAGTTGTGATTTTTGGTTCGTTCTACAGGAAGGTGCTCTAGAGTAACACAACTTCATCTAATGAAATAACAGCTGTCTGATAGAATCTTCTGAAAGTTGGATCATGAAATACATGTTTCGTTTATTCCTAGATCACACTAGAGGCAACTCATTCAGACTTGAGCTGCCAGCCTTAATAAGGGAAATACCTTAAAATACATTCTTCCTTGCTCATATGTTTTCCTTTAAGTAGTAGTCAACGTGTTGTGCTTTTTTTTAACTTTAATTAAAGACCTTTTCAATGGCTCAGCATTTTTTTCTTCTGTTTGGATTAGTAGTTGCACATCATTGGTTTTAAAATGCATTTCTGATAATAACTTGATATTATTCTGAAAATGTACAGGAGAAAACC